GGTCGGGGAGTGCCTCCCCGTCCCCATCCCCGCGAATGGCGAGGACGGGGATCCCCGCCGGGATTTTTGACGGGGGGCAGATTTTGCCCCCCGTTCCCCGCGGGGATCCCCATTCCCCACCAATTAATAACAAAGTATATATTTTTTGCATCAAACATAAATAAAAATTAATTTAACACAAATAATTAAATCAACAAAATTGTTCCAGATAGAGATTAATCCAACATAAAGCAACATGTTCCAAAGTCCAAACATAAGTTGTTCCAAATATATATAGAAATTAATCCAACATAAAGCAACATACTTGTTCCAAATATAAGCAAAAATCAACCCAACATAAATAAAATAACTAAACTAAACCAACATTCAACATGAAGGGAAGCAGCCAAGAACCAACTCAAAACACTTTAGCTCTCAAAATCCACAATTGCTCATAAAAAGACCTACAATACAATTAGTAAATACTTTATATTAACATATTTATAAAAAAAACTGTTTATATTATTAGCATAAAAAAGGGTCATGCATATTTACCTCTGAATTATTGTCTTCATCACAATCCACATCCTCATTTTGAGTAAAGAAACATATATCATCCAAAGAACCTATTTCAAATATGAAAATTTAAATTAAAAATTAACTACTTAATTAAAGAACAAAAAAAAAATATACATAAAAAAAATGAAAGAAACATAAACTTAATATCTTTGAGATCTGTTCTTAACCAATCTTGAAGACACATCAATGCTTCTATTGTATCTAGATTAAGCTTGCTACGATGTGAACTAACAACTCTTCCACCAGTACTAAAAGCCGATTCTGAAGTAACAGTGGATATGATCACAAGAAAACATTAGCCATGAGCATCTTCAAAAAGCCTGTCTCAGTTCAACAAATTTACCACAAACTATGCATTCAATTGACTATTTGCAAGCAGCATAGCAAAACAACCATAGCAATTCCACTAAGACCACACTGCTAACACTATTTCAATTTACAAAATATAAAGAGATGGAAACCCTTAACCCGCAACAATTGAAAAATCACAATAAACCAACCACCTAATTTGAAAGCCTAAGTATGAGAATCTATTAGCACAAGGTTCATTTTTTCTATCACAGTAGATTGACAAAATTCATGGAGCCCTAATTTACATCCGCACATACTTTACATTATCAAGACTGAGGCAACAAAACGAAATTAAAAGACCAACCTTTCAGAAGATAACTACCCAAACCAAGAATCCACTTCGCAATAAGAAAAAAAAAAAAGAACAAATTGGAACGAGACGATTGCAGCAAGGGACTTACATGCGATCCTGGATGACATTGCAGATGTATTGAGTCAACCGAACAACGGAACCGACCTACAATTGAGAAGATGTAACAGGCAGCAATAGCAGAGAGGGAGTTCGGCACAGGCAGCAAGATGAACTCCAGCAGATTTGTAGGCTGCAGCTAACAGCTTTGACAGCAGCTCTAGAAGCAGATTTGTAACAACTCCAGTAGCATATTTGTAGCAGCTCCAATAGCAGACCTGTAGTAGATCTGTAGCAGCAAGAAGGGGAGAGGAAGGTGGTGAAGTGAGACTTGAGAGCTTGATTGTCTGGTTGAAACCAAGAGTGAGTGAGGGGTTGTGGCTGCGTGCGTGAGTGAGGAGAAAAGGAGGGGAAATGAATAAAGTTATGAAATTAGGGTTGGAAAGGGGATTAATTAGGGTTGGAACTTGTAAGGAGGATGCTGGATTGTTGGGTTGGCCGATTGGGTTGATACTTGGGTTGGGTTGGATTGGGTTGGGTTGGGTTGGGTTGGATTTGGTAAAATTTAATTTTTATTGAATTGGGTTTGGGTTATGTTTGAATTTTATTTTAAATATTAAATTAAATTTAATTTTTTATTTTTTTATTTTTTTGTGGGGATGGGGATCCCCGCGGGACCCCACGGGGAGGGAAAAATTTTTCGTGAAATTTCGCGGGGACAAAATGCCCCCCATCCTCGTCCCGTCCCCGTGACGGATATCCCCACGGGGATCAGGGGAAATTGCCACCCCTAGAGGCTACAAGTATCTATTGCTAATTATTTTACTCTTGAACTTCTATTTTTTTTTATTAACAATCATGTTTCTTTTTTAATAAAAATAAATAGATAAACAATCATCTCATTATACAATCCTTTACCATAGGAAAAAAATGTTTTTATAAAATAACAAAATAAAAAATTTTAAAATTTTTTTAAAAAAATACATGCATGTTACATTATAGCCAAGAGACCAGATCAACTTGCTTATAATTTTTTACTTTTACACTAATGTCTCATATTTTTTTGGTATCGATGTAAAACCAGCATGTCTCCCACTCTTCATCACCACCCACCAACATCCGCCACCCTAACTCGACTGCATATATACTTGAGAAGTAGTTGTGCCCCACACCCGTCATGTACTCGTCTCTCACAGCCCTGTATTATCCACCTTTTCAATAAAAACTTTTTCAGTAAAAGGGCTTCTAATCAAACATGCTCCACGCCCTTAAACTACAATGAGTTTTCTGTTACATTGTGCTTCAAGATTTTTTTTATTAATTAGCCCCCTCAAAAAATTTTGGTCATATTTCATCGCTAACTACAACTAGGGTTTAGACATCGCGTGAAAATAGTTATCATATTCATAAATTTACATACTATTTTAATTAATAGATATATAATTTGTAAATCATAATTTAAAATTTTATTGTTAATGTATAGTTTTGTTAAATATTTTCACTTCATTAAAATTCTCATGCGTACAACAATATTAGAAAAGTTAAAACTATAGTTGCATGTTTCTCTATCCCATGACTATGTCTACTCTTTTTACTTTCTTTTCTTTCTAACAGTATGTTTGGTTGAAAGGAATAGAGGAGAGGGAAAAAATTTCTTTATTTACTTATTAAAAGAATTTGAAAATAGAAGAGGAGAGGGGAGGGTAAGAATTTCTTTTATTTTATATTATATTTTATTTTATTTACTTATCCAAATGAGGAAAAAGAAGGGAAGGGGGAATGGAGGGAGATGCCCCTTCTTTCCTTGCCCCGTTAACCCAAACATACAACTCACTACCTCTATCCCCTTGATGACCAAGGAGTATGAATAAAAGTAGGCTTCTCTCCCTTTAGGGTTTTCTCTCATTTGTAAAGTTTTTCCCACTTTCGGGGTCTCTATATTTACTCGACCCATTTTTGAAACTAAGTTCGGTTTAATCGGCCAAGTTAGGTCTAGTTTTAAAACCCATTTTGAAAATTGAGCTGGTCAAACCTGCCAATCAGACTCGTTCTATTTCAAAATCTTCTTCTTTCAAAAAAAATTTTTTCATGCATTTTATCATTTTGAATTTCATTCATTTAATTGAATTCAACTTTTTAAGTTGCTTTTAATGTGATTTACAAATTGTTTTTAAGTTGTTTTTAAGATAATTATGCCTTGAAAAATAGGGGTAATACCGTAAAATACACACACACAAAAATGAGGAAAATGTCTTGAAAAATAGGGGTAATACCGTAAAATACACACACACAAAAATGAGGAAAATGTCAACTTTTTAATTGAACCGGTTGAATTAAACCCAGTGCTGAAAATGGTTCAAACCCCGAGTCAATTTTAAAGCATTGAGGATGACGGCGCAAATGTAAGGTTGGCTAGGCTTAAACGGGATGCATGCTTGCTTCAGCCGTCGATACCCTAGCTATAATCTTTTTTCTGAGAAGCTGGAATTTTAATTGGATGGGATTTTTCATATGCTTCAAATGCACAATTAGGTATTTTTTTATATAATCTCTAGTAAATGATAATTTTTTATAGTTAGTTCATATATGTCATGACAAAATCATCTATTATTAATGTTATAAGTGTA